TGTGTGCATCTATTTGTATTTTTTAAAATTGCCAAATGTGATGATTTGCAATTAAGAGTTATAATATATCTCCATCCATATATTACCACCACAATTTTATAAATCGTTGAATCAACATTACCATCATCGTCATCGTCGTCACCATCGTCAAAACAGCCTTCACCTTCATCAACAACAACAACATCAGCGTCATTTTCATCATCATCATCCACATCATCATCTACTTATTTCAGGATATGCACCTGCATACCTCAAGATCAGTGTATGGAGGTATAGCATATAATATACAATATGTATATATATATATATATATATATATGTGTGTGTGTGTGTGTGTGTTTGTTTGTTTGTTTGTGTATGTGTGTGCGTTTTTATATTTATAAATATTAATTCAAAGAACAGCTTCTGTAAGTAAGTGAGATTATTCTATATAGGGCGAATATAACGAGCATGAATGTTGGTTTTACAAGATTTTGCATATGATTTTTGTATGCTCGTATGTATTGTTAAATGTATGTACTTTTGAATTTTTTTTTTTAAGTTAACTTTTGTATTTGCATACAAACATTTTTGAATGGATGCATGTATGTATGAATGTATATATGTAAATGTAGGTATGCGATTGTATATACGAATATATGTACTTATGCATGAATATACAATATACATGCACAACATACAAGCTTATTTCTACTTTCATGTCATGAATATTTCACATTTCCATGCCGTATTCCGGTTATTCCACAGAAAGGAATTTCTAATTTAGCATTTAGGGGTATAAAAAAACTGTGCTTTACACAGAGTTGCATGCAAACTGAATATATTTTAAATAAAATATGCGCTATATAAATATCTGAATATATTTTAAATATAATATGCGCTATATAAATACCAAAAACAAACTGACCAGATGGATTTCCGTCTCCTCCCACACCAACACTCGGATTGGTCGTTACGTGATCCGCAGATTTCACGCCACAGCATCGCTCAATAGATGGACTCGAAGTTAGGTGAGTCGGTCTTGAGAAGTTGTTCAGGTGTTGCTGGGTTCGATTCCCACTCGTTCTGGATGACGACAACGCGATGTGGTTGTTTGGAATGAGAGCACTGTCACTCATTATTGGCTCAATCTCAATGAAATCGATGCTGTTGTGGCGATTGTTGCCGTGGTTGTTGCTGTTGTGGATTATACTGTTGCGAGTGTTGGGAGTTGTTATGTTGTTGTTGTTGTTGGTTGCTAAGTTGTGTACGCGGTGATGGTTGCAACTTCTTCCGCAGTCGCTCTTCGACGACGCGTGGTAGTGTAGTTGCTGGTGCTGCTGGCTCGGCTGGTGTTGAGACAGGAGCAATGAGTTGTTCACTATTGTCGATTGCTGTTTTTCAACAGTTTTTCCGCAAAACCGCTTGCAGAAAAAATTCGAAAATTTCAAGCGATCTTTCAAAAAACTGAATTTTTTCTCAATTTTTGTTTGAGTAGCCTGCTGACAGCAGCATTGTTGGGAAGGTTTTTTATTCAGCAACTGATGTTGTTGCAAAATTTGTTGCTGTTGTCTGGTCGATTTTTGTTTGTTTTTGTTGTCACCAAGACGACAACTGCAATATGTAATGTTGTGGGAATTTGCCTTGCTGTTGCCGTGTTGAAATTTTTGCTTTTCATAGCCACAACATCCAGTGCAACAACAGCAGCAGCACTTTTCATTTTCATTAGTTGTTGTAATTGTTGTCATTTTTGTTGAATGCTGTTGTTGCTGTTGTGAAAGTTGTTGTTGATGCAGAGCAGCTTTGTGACTAGCGAGCGTGGGAGCCCCGTGTTTCGGTAGCGTCAAAGCCGATACTGACGCGTTGGACGACACAGATGTGCCGACGGCAGAGTCGGTTGACACCGGCCTAGCCTTACAATCAGCATTGCTGTTGTCAATAATTTTACTTTTTTCTCCGTTGTTATCCAATATTTTATTTCCTTGTTTTTGACAACCGGTGGCCGTTGTAGTGCATGTTGTGGCTGCCAGCGTCGTATGCAGTGGCCTATTCAGAGGAATGCCAAAAGTTTTGGCTTCCTCCATTAAATCGTCCCAGTTCATATGCGTCTTGTCCGACAAGTCGATGTTGTTTGCCGAAATTTCTGCCTTCAATGAGTTATTCTGTCTTGCAAATTTATTACATGCTAACATGGTCTTATTTCGAGGGTCATTAATTGGCTCGTAGCCGTTGTTGTTATTATTATTGTTGATGGCAGTGTTGTTGTTGTTGTTGTTGTTAGATTTTGCTTTAGGAATATTTCGATCCAACGAATAATTAGCGTCTGAAGATATAATTTCTTTTTCGCCAGCTAAAATGTCGTCTGCCGAGCGGTGTACCACAGCTACTGTCGTTATTTTACTCGAGACAAAATCCGCTAGAGTTTGCTTTTTATCGGCTTTCTGTAGCGATCTTATCGAATCAAAATTGTCCACCTCATGTTTTTCTTCGTTTCCGTACGATGTTTTCCTGGTTAGTTGAGGTTTGTTGCTAATTATAGTTGCAGATTTTTTGTCGTCTTTGTTATTTTTTGTTGCATCCGTTTTATAACTTCGATTGTTTTCCAAATTAGCAATGCCGTAAACGGAATTGAGAAACGATTTTCCAGAAATTGTATTGCTATCCGGGGATGTGTTTGATGTAATCGCTTGCGTTTTGCTGTCGCTAATTGCTACCTTACTATTTTTAATTAATTTTTCCTTACTCATTGAGTTCACAGCCTGACAGATGTTGCTAATCATGGTTGAGTTCAACGAGGCGTTATCTTTATTCAGAATTCTTTTCGGGCTGTCGTAAGCCTGATGCTCTCGAAGTTGGTAGGGCTTGTCGAAGTTTTGGAGCATTTGTGGCGTCACTGGTGGGTAATGTTGTTTCTGCTGTTGATGTTTTTGTGGTTGTTGTAACTGTTGTTGTTGCTGCGTTTGCTGTTGTTGTGGTTGCTGTTGTTGCGATTGTTGTTGCTGCTGTTGCGATTGCTGTTTCTCAACAGTTAACATGGGGTTCATCTTATTTCCTTCTAAACGAACAGTGAATTTGAACTCAACCACGGAATCGTCTTCAACTTTTTGGGAGCCTATAGGAGCTTCTGATACTTTTTCTTTCTCTTGATTAGATTTTGAAACAACTTGGGTCGGTAGCACCGTGCCGACGATTGGCGTTGTTGCCTGCTGGGGTGGTGATGAAGAACCGCATTTCATCGTGCTGGTTGCCAAATATTTGGATCTTTCACCGGTAGATTGGGGGCTTTCATCCGAACTACTCTGACTCAACAGAGCTCTTTTTTCAGCATTTTCCAGACTGATGTAGTCGGAACCTGGTTCTTGCGGTAAATAGGGGGGTGGAGGAAACTCTTCATCGTCGTCGTTTCCGGGTGAGTGCTGCTTAGAAATGGATTCGTTTGGAGACAGTGATGAAGACGAAGATGACGGAATAGGAGGAGGGGGAGGTAATGTGTAGAGATCTGAGAATGCTAGTGACGACTTTATGGTCGGTGTTTCAGCTTTAAAAGAAGCTGACGCCGTAGGTGTTAGAGATGTTTTGGGACAAATTGCTTCGGAAAAGACATCAGAATTTCTAGCGGAAGAGGCGTTACCGCCATCTGGATCCGAACTAGACGATCTCGGTCGGTCAGAAAATGTTGCCTCATCATCGTCTTCATCGTCGTCGTCGTCTTCATCGCCGTCGTTGATAGCGGCTGTAAATTTTTTAAACGACTCTCCCGGACTGTCAACTTTGCTTTTGTTCAACTGCCGCTTGCCATTGCCGTTGGAATCTTTGGATGTGTCGCTCTCACTTCCGGCTGATTTTTTCTGGCGTCTGGTGAGTTTCGGTGGAGAGACCTTCGTGAAAATTTTACGATACATTTGAAAAATACAATACCCTTAGTGGATATCTTTATTTCAATTTCTATCTTTTGTTTTAAATTAAGTACGTATGTGTGAATTATTTCCACAAAGTCAACTGGTGCAATTGCATGTGTTTGTATACTTTACATATAACACATGGCAAGTTTATTTGCCATACTATAGCAGGTTCATTACTTGAAGAGAACATGTGTTTCATTCAACACACACAAGCGCCCTAACTGAGGCGTACACACACACACTACACACACACTAACACACGCGCATACATGCATGCCTACATACATACACACACGCACACACTGGCACACATACACACATGCATATACATATGCAACATGTTTACTTTAACGTAATTTGTGTCAAAAGATAGAGGAGTGTATTCGGACATTTCCCTCCTGTCTTCCTCATTGTCGTTGCATCTGTGGTTACTTCTGTTGCTACTGCTGCTGCTGATGTTGTTGTTGATCTTTTTGGTGGTTCTGCTATCTTGTTTCAGGATCTTTATGATACGGATTGTGTTTTTTTTTATGTGTGTTGGTTGTTGTTATTGAGTCTGTCTATGTTGCATGTCTATATTACATGTCTATGTTGCATGTCTAGGTTGCATGTTTCATGTCAATGTTGCATATCTGTTGCATGTGCACGTTTTATGCTGTACATGTGTGTTTGTATTTGTTGTATATCTACGTTCGTAGTTTGAATAAATAATACTTCGAAATTCTGATTAGAAAATCAATACTAGAAAAGTTTTAAACGACTAACTCTATTATATTTAGAAAATTCAGTATTCCCATTTTGTTGTTGTTGTTGTGCTTGCTGTTGTTGTTGCAGTTGCTGCTGCTGCTGCTGTTGCAACATCACCTTGTCATTTTTTAAATATTTCTGCGGGTGTACAGGTGGTCCTCTGAACGTGGAGAACGTTTTATTCGCAGATTTCAACTGCTTGTAATATTTAACAAACACATCGTCGGTATCCGATGCTAGGTTCTCATTCGATTCCCTGACGGATACCTGTTTGATTCTATCGAGACTATCCTCCAACAACATTCCATTCTGTGGATGAGTCGACACCGGACTGCCAAGAGAGTTTTGATGAAGGAATTGTTTCTTCTTGGCTCGATCGTGGGGACTCGGTCTGTCCAGCGACGTTTTCGTGTATTCGTTCGGTTTCACGGAGAATTCTGGGATTTGGAAATTTTTGATCGATGATTTTTTGTCGTTAATTGGAGTGTTGAGGTCTTGTTTTTGTTTGAGAGAGGAGTTTCGTTTGCTGGTGTGGAAAAATTTTGACGTATCCGACGAGAAGATGGAAGTCTTCGGTGGACCGCTTGGACATTTGTCCAAATTTGGAAAAGCCATTTCTCAATACTCAATTTCTGTCAACAAATTTTTAATTACAGTTAAATTTTATTATTAGTTAATAATGTTAATTTTTGCATTTATGTTGGAGTATATTTTGAAATGAACTTTATTTATTTAAAAAATGTCGCCGGTAAAAATTCGACAAAAGATTAAAATCGTTGAAGACATTTTTGAACGGTTGCATTCGAAAGCATCAACAATCAGCGAATCAACTCGAAAACAATCGTTAGCACTTGAAACTCAGTAGTAACCACACAAAATGTATATCGATATAAATTCAATCGAATAATCCGAAAACCATCTTATTTGAATTCGTTTCGACGAATGAAATCCGTGCTAGTGTATATAAAAGTAAGCGTGCAGAGCATGTTAAGCTTTCAGTACGGACGGGATACATCATCATTAATATGAAATATTGAACCGCCATCTTCTCTCTCCCTCTCTCACTTTACTCTCTCTCTCTCTCTCTCTCTCTCTCTCTCTCTCTCTCTCTCTCTATCCTTCTTTCTCTTCACTCTCTTTCTTTTTAATTGTATATATGATACAAATATATAATTCACACGCATATGATCATATGTTTCTATTTATTTGTTAACTCATTTATTCATATTTAGGCAAGTTAAATTTTTCACATAATTGGTGTTTGTGATTATACGTTTTGTGTTTTGGCGTGTTTCTATGAAAATGCGTGTATGTGTTAGTACGTATGTCTTTGTGTGTACTTAGGTCTGTGTGTGTTTGTATGTCTGTGTGTGTACGTATGTTTGTGTGTGTACGTATGTTTGTGTGTGTACGTATGTTTGTGTGGGTATGTGTGTATGTATGTATGTGTTAGTACGCATGTATGTGTGTATTTGTATATCTTTGTGTATTTTATTAAGATAGAATATTGATGTACATTAGTTCGTTTGCTGAAATATTTATCTATTTATTCATCTTGTTTTTTTAGATCACTTTCTTTTATCTACATTCGTTCGCTCACTTGTTCTTTTTTTTCTCTCTTTCAACTCTTCGCATCTTTCCAACAACTTTTTTATTTATATTTTTATTCTACAAGTAACTTTCAACACACACACACACAAACAAACAACCAATGAAACAAAGACACAAAGACACACACATACTAAATTGTGTATATGTGTCTATAATTTATAACAGCGATATATAACAGCGATCATAAATTAATGAAGACGCTACAATAATAATAATAATAATAATAATGTGAACTCTCTTTTATTTCCAGAAAAATATGAAATATAGTAAAATGAGATAAAAGTCTAATTAAAATCTAATAAAATAAAATAAAATAGATAAATTGATTTAAATTAAATTAAATACAATAGTATTCTACGATGCTCATCATTTGAAATAAACGAGTACAACGAGATATGATTAGTTTTAAACGAACAGTTCAATTGTTATTGCGTTCACAGTAGATGGCATAAGATGACGGTATTACTGAGTTAATGAGGTTATTATAAAATTGATCTGACCAAATGTTATTGAATAATGATAAATTTAAAAAATTGCAAAAGCTCAATGTTGAAATTTCAAAAGTAATAATAACAATAATAATTATAATAATAAAAATTTAAGTGTGAGTAAAATGAAGGTTTAGACAAGATCGGAGAATTTATTGGAAGAAATTAATGAAACTTAACGTGTGTTTATTTATTGGAGATCACTTAGTGCAATCATTCTCATTTTTATTATTATTATTATTGTTGTTGTTATTTTATTTCCTTTCTATTATTACTTCATTACATTAATTTCTCTTATTTTTTTCATTTTAAACTATCTGGTTCTGGTATAAGTCTGTCTGTCTGTGTCTGTCTGTGTGTGTTCTCTCTCTCTCTCTCTCTCTCTCTCTCTCTCTCTCTCTCTCTCTGTTTTTCTCTCTCTCTCTCTTTCTCTCCTTCTTACTCCTCCTTATCTGTTGCGAGACAAGACAGCAGAAGTCTTGAAACATTGAAACAGTCACGTCTGCCATAAAGAGGGTTATAAAACATGTCGAGCTGCCTCTCTCGTTAACGCTGGTCACACAATTTCAGCTGGTAGATGTCTTGCTTGTGTAAATTTTGGTTGTTGTCGTAGTTTCAGGCTGTTTGTTTGTGTTGTTTGTTTATTGATTCATTTATTCATTCACTTATTCCTTCATTCATTCATTCATTCGTTCGTTCGTTCGTTCGTTCATTCGTTCGATTTCTCGTTTATTCAATCAATCATTCATTCATTCATTTTTTATGTTTACAAAGTGGTTTATGTTTGTTCCTGTTTTTATTTGTTTGTGTTGCTAAAATTTTTCATCTTCATCAAAATTGTTGTTGCTGCTGATGTTGTTGTTGCGGTTTTTTTTGCTGTTAATGCAGCTGCTGTTGATGATGTTGTTGTTGGTTATGTTGTTGTTGTAGTTGTTATAACTCTTTGTTGTTGCTGTGTAATGATGTCTACAAATGCTTATAAATGTGGCAATAATCATTATTTCCAAATGATGTTTGTTCGTCGTGCAACTCACGACTACCTCCAACGAAAGCAACTATTCAGTGATTATCTTTATCGAATTGTAAATATCAGTTGTATGATTGGTTGGTTGTTTTTGGCAAGAGGGTGAATGAGCTGTGATTGGATGGTTTATTATGGTAAAAGGATTGTGAATGGTTAGTTGTTTATTATCGGAAAAATGTGATTGGCTGATTGATTATGATTGGAAAAATATGATGGTTTGATAGTTTTTGGTTGAAGGTTCGTAGTGGTTGTTCATATTCATGTTCACAAAATGTTATTTATGGTTATAGAAATGGGGTTGTGGATTGTCTATGGTTTAAAAAATGTGATTGGATGGTTTTCCGAAACACTGGCACGAACATGCACACATTAAAAAACGAGCAGAGCGTTCAAACAAGATGAAAAAATAAATAAACAATTAAATAAGTAAAATGCAGTTCAAGCCTTTTTCAGACTAAAATTTTTTTATTTCTTCACTTTAAAAAAAAACGCACTGCAACACATTCACTTACTCGGAGCTGTCTCGTCCGCCATGATTTATCGTCGTAACGTAAATGCGAGCTGAAATGTTTAAACTCGCGATATCTCAAAGATGCTCTTTCTCTCTCTCTCTCTCTATCTCTCTTTCTCTCTCTCTTTCTCTCTCACTTTTTCTCTCTCACTCTCTCACACACACACACACACATACATGCCATGTACATACACATACCATATACACGCATACGTATATAGCTACATGGTTGACGTATTTGCTGTGACAGGATTGTGTTTGTGTGTGTGTAGGAGTGTGTGTAGGAGTGTGTACATTTGTGTGTGTGTGTTTGTGTGTCTGTTTGTGTTCATAAGGGAACAACATACCTATCGACTTATTAATTACTTTTTAATAAGTATCCAATTACAAATTTTCTGAACAGATTCAAGTTTATCTATCAGAAAAAAATGAATTAAAACATAATAATCATGACAAAAGACTCAAAAATACTTTGCCAATTTTTTATTTTTATTATTATTCTTTAAATTCTCAAATTGAAAATTTAGATTAATTAATTTATTTACAAGTACAACGCCCTGAGGTTAAGGTCTCCGATAGATTTTCTTAATCTTATCAATTTACATCTTATAAAAAATTTAATATTATTTTTTTACTAAAATCATCTTAACAATAGGTATCCTTACATTTCTTTTTTAATTTTTATCTTACATTTTTTTAAATTCTCTTAAAATTTTTCAAAAAAATGTCATTTGAACTGGCATCAATTACGTTCAAACTATACTTGTTAGTATAGTTTCGTTTCGTCTAATAAAAATCGTGTCTGCACTGATGATGAAGATGATGATGATGACGACGACAATGATGATATTGATGATGATGAGAGAAATGATGAAGAGGAGGAGGATGATGATGATGGAAACAAGCCTTTACTTGACGCCATAACTGAAAAGTAGACTTATGAAGTGCACAAACACAAACCGCCTTCAAAAATGCACAACTACACAAGTACATACACACAAAAATATACACATACATACCTGCAAATGAAAATACGTGTTTGTTTGTTTGTTTGTGAGTGTGTTTGTGTGTGTTTTGTTTGCTTGTGTGTGTGTGTGTGTTTGTTTATGTGCGTTGTGTGTGTTTCCATGCATGTTTGTGCATATGATTTTGCTTGTATTTATCTATCTATATGTTTGCTTGTTTGTTTCTCTCTCTCTCTCCCTCCTCTTTTTTTCTCTCTCTCTCTCTCTCTCTCTCTCTCTCTCTCTCTCTCTCTTTCTCTTCCATACATATACACTCCCTGAAAAGCTTATCTCTGAAACCCTCGTTTAATATGCTTACAAGTACATACACACACATACATACATACACCTAATCAGTCCACGTTTAGTCACGTCACACACTCTTACTCACACACACACACACACACATACACAGACAAACACAGACACACACACACACACATACAAATATGTTTATCTCTCTCTCTCTCTTTCTTTCTCTCTCTCCTCTCTCTCTCTTTCTCTCTCTCTCTCTCTCTCTCTCTCTCTCTCTCTCTCTCTCTCTCTCTCTCTCTCTCTCTCTCTGAGTGTGTGTGTGTGTGTGTGTATCTCTTTTTCTTGTGTAGCAAGCTTACATGGATCTATTGCAATTGAAAGTGCACGAATTTTTATACCCAACGCACAAAATAATTTTTACTTGTCATATTCATCATCGTCGTCATCATCGTCATTATCAACATCATCACCATCATCGTTGTTATATATTCCTATAGCAACATCTGAAGCAGCAGCAGCAGCAGTAGAAGTAGTGGTAATGGCAGTAGTAGTAGCAGCAGCAGCAGTAGCAGTAGTATGATCATCATCTTCAATATCATCCAAAAAACAATTGTTATTACCACATAATCAATTTACTACATTGTTATTTCCTAATAAAACAGAGGCCACTTAGTGATAGACAGATGGAGTACGAGCAAGCAAAAAAAAGAAATAAAAGATGA